ACACTTTTAAAGGGATAGTTCACACAGAAATGTCTATTCTGTTGTCAATTTCTTACCCACACGTTGTTCCAAACCTGTATGACTTTCCTTCATGGAATAAACGGAGAAGGTTGCTCATTTCCATATGACTGCAGAAAATAGGGACTGAAGCTTTCAAGCTTGAAAAAGGACACAAATGAATGAACCATAAAAGTGGTCCATACGATTCATACGCTATATTCCAAGTCTTAGAGCTTCTTACAAACTTCAAGTACACCTGTGACCAGGTGATCATTGAGTTGATGAAATTCTAATGAAAACACCAACAAGCGCTAGAGAAGATGTCAAGATTTTAAGTGAATAATGGAATAGAGCACACTTTTCAAGCACACGATTTTTTTGAATCTCTATTGAAGATTGAAAGCTTTCACTGTACAACCAAAATATCATACATGTTTGGAACGGCATGAAGGTGAGTAAATAATGACAGAATTTCATTTTTAGATTAACTATCCCATTAAACGACTAAAAACAGCAGACACTATCAGGAAGAATCCCAGTAATATCTTATGAATCTTTTATATCTGCAAAGATATTGATGTCAAGTTTGTCAGTGCTATAGAGCTATAGAGAGGACTTTTATACTTTTGAATGTGGATGAGCCAGTGACAGGGTAAATAACAAAAAATGACATGAAAATATGTCAGCGAGGCTTTAACATGTGTAAGACAACAGTAACTTATGGCACAGGTTGTTTTGCGTATACCCAGGGAGCATGTGAATGTTATACATTGACAATTGATGAGTGATTGTTTGAAAATCATATTTTTCTGTTGTGCTTGACTGTGACATTATTCTGACACCTCATAGGCTGCAAAAAATCGAAACTCACCAAATGAATGGAAAGTGGGATTACCGTCATATTCAACTAGTGTTCATGACACCATTGAGCATGAGGGACAGTACTCATTGTTACTGTGTGCATTTTATTTTGGTGGCAATCAAACGTGATACTACTGATCAGATGATGTCATGTCGAATTGAACTGACGTTTGCTGCTAGTGTTGCTGCATTTATGTGTTTTGTTTTGTATTTATTTCGCTCAGCTATTGAATAGCACATGGGCTGTGCATTAAATCATATCAGATTTGTAAAAGGCCCCGATCAAATTAAACAGAGATGCTAGATGTCATTGGTTTGAATCTACTTCTCTCTGTGTTGAGAACCTGAGTCATCTTGTATTGTCTTATTATGGCCATAATTGTGTTTGCATAAATTGTTTTGAGTAAATAAACATTCGTGAAAATAGATTTTGTTCATGCATTTCATAAAACTGCATATTAAAGGGTTAGTAAAATGTTACGGCATACAAAAACGTTCAGAATTTAATTCAAATAATGTGTCAATGAAATCAATCTTAATGAAAAATATAGTTTTGATTTTTTTTTTCTTTTATGACCTGGGGCCAGCTGTTCAAAAAGTTTAATCTGGATCAGAATGATCTGGATTTGGAAATCCCATGTTCTGCTATCCAGGATCAGGTAACCCATTTTACGTTTGTGCCGGTTTTTCAAAGCAAAATTGGATTGGATCACCCTGATCCAGATACACACTTTTTCAGATTTCCAAATCTGGATTACTAGTGCTCTACGGAGCCCCTAAAAGGACATGGTGATGGAAAAAAATAAAATAAAAAATGAGATGAGATGGGGAAACAAATGCCAATGTTTTGCATTCTAGTTTTGCATTGTTTACACAAATAACTACTGAGTGATTCTATAATTGCAGGTACATTTGGTGTCCAAAGTCATTAATTTTTTTCCTGCTTTTTTCAAATGGTTATATTTTTAATTATTTTAATACTGTGTTACTCATTGTTATGAATTACAAGATGTTACAGTCCATAACAATATAATATTTTTTTGCAAAAAGTGTCTTAAATAGCTGAAAATCATGATTTCTTGTTGTCCGAATTAGTCAGTGCATTTTTTCCATCATGTATCATTGTGTAATCAAAATATTTTATTGTACTTTTCTTTTGGTAATATTTCATTCATTTTATTTATAAAAGCCCTAAAGAGTCATTTACCTAATTCTACAACATTATTTTTTTTTATAAAAATGTGTCCGTAAATCTTGCGTCAACTCTGTTACCAAACCATACTTTGCCTTTAAATTATGTAATGTAAGATACAGGAAATGATGTCACTTTCCCTCACTGTTAAGATCTGAAGCACTGAAAAGTCTATGTGCTCTCTCTAAGAAAATATTTTAATCTAAAATTATATCTGCAAAGATATTGATGTCAAGTTTGTCAGTGCTATAGAGCTATAGAGAGGACTTTTATACTTTTGAATGTGGATGAGCCAGTGACAGGGTAAATAACAAAAAATGACATGAAAATATGTCAGCGAGGCTTTAACATGTGTAAGACAACAGTAACTTATGGCACAGGTTGTTTTGCGTATACCCAGGGAGCATGTGAATGTTATACATTGACAATTGATGAGTGATTGTTTGAAAATCATATTTTTCTGTTGTGCTTGATTGTGACATTATTCTGACACCTCATAGGCTGCAAAAAATCGAAACTCACCAAATGAATGGAAAGTGGGATTACCGTCATATTCAACTAGTGTTCATTACACCATTGAGCATGAGGGACAGTACTCATTGTTACTGTGTGCATTTTATTTTGGTGGCAATCAAACGTGATACTACTGATCAGATGATGTCATGTCGAATTGAACTGACCTTTGCTGCTAGCTAGTGTTGCTGCATTTATGTGTTTTGTTTTGTATTTATTTCGCTCAGCTATTGAATAGCACATGGGCTGTGCATTAAATCATATCAGATTTGTAAAAGGCCCCGATCAAATTAAACAGAGATGCTAGATGTCATTGGTTTGAATCTACTTCTCTCTGTGTTGAGAACCTGAGTCATCTTGTATTGTCTTATTATGGCCATAATTGTGTTTGCATAAATTGTTTTGAGTAAATAAACATTCGTGAAAATAGATTTTGTCCATGCATTTCATAAAACTGCATATTAAAGGGTTAGTAAAATGTTACGGCATACAAAAACGTTCAGAATTTAATTCAAATAATGTGTCAATGAAATCAATCTTAATGAAAAATATAGTTTTGATTTTTTTTTTCTTTTATGACCTGGGGCCAGCTGTTCAAAAAGTTTAATCTGGATCAGAATGATCTGGATTTGGAAATCCCATGTTCTGCTATCCAGGATCAGGTAACCCATTTTACGTTTGTGCCGGTTTTTCAAAGCAAAATTGGATTGGATCACCCTGATCCAGATACACACTTTTTCAGATTTCCAAATCTGGATTACTAGTGCTCTACGGAGCCCCTAAAAGGACATGGTGATGGAAAAAAATAAAATAAAAAATGAGATGAGATGGGGAAACAAATGCCAATGTTTTGCATTCTAGTTTTGCATTGTTTACACAAATAACTACTGAGTGATTCTATAATTGCAGGTACATTTGGTGTCCAAAGTCATTAATTTTTTTCCTGCTTTTTTCAAATGGTTATATTTTTAATTATTTTAATACTGTGTTACTCATTGTTATGAATTACAAGATGTTACAGTCCATAACAATATAATATTTTTTTGCAAAAAGTGTCTTAAATAGCTGAAAATCATGATTTCTTGTTGTCCGAATTAGTCAGTGCATTTTTTCCATCATGTATCATTGTGTAATCAAAATATTTTATTGTACTTTTATTTTTGTAATATTTCATTCATTTTATTTATAAAAGCCCTAAAGAGTCATTTACCTAATTCTACAACATTATTATTTTTTTTTTAAATAACTTTTTTCTTATAAAAAGTTGTGTCCGTAAATCTTGCGTCAACTCTGTTACCATACCGTACCATACTTTGCTTTTAAATTAGTGGAATTATCTCCCACAACTATGTAAGACACAGGAAATGATGTCACTTTCCCTCACTGTTAAGATCTGAAGCACTGAAAAGTCTATGTGCTCTCTCTAAGAAAATATTTTAATCTAAAAGTTCTTACACCCTCCAAGTGGACGGTTCTGTGAAGACATAGGTATTTTTTAAATTTTAAAGGTATGCATAGGTGAAATATTATCTCAGTTTCAAGTGATGGAATGTAAGGACTGTTTGTCTAATGAAACAAGAAGGAGTTTTCCTGATTTATTGTTATTTCTACACATTGGCTAAGTTGTCCGTAACATAGTTGACAAACAATACCATAAAGATATCTGTTTTTTCATTAAAAGTAAAAAAAGGAAGTAACTTGTGATTGGCAAGCACTGAATTATTAAAATTAAATATGTTTTCAATAAGATACTGAAAAAAAAATCTGTTAGTGAAAAGTTTTTTTTCTTAACTTTCTGCAATGCCAAATGTATCTCCAATTATAGAATCACCCTACTTCTGACTGGCCCATCTCTGATGATTGTGCCAATGTAGTTTACAATCAATGATTAAAAACTTTAAATTAAATATTTTTGTTTGATATTGACAGTTGTTTAGGGATATACATTACATGTTACAAATGTTGTATTGTTTTGACCAGTTTTAAAGTTTTATTACATATTTGTTCCCGAAATCCACCCCTACCACAGCTGTATAGGTTTTGAACCAATCATTAAAGTTAAGAAATTATTCTTGTGAGATTCCTCTGGCTTCACTGAATAGTAGCCAATGGCATTCCAGTGTGGGCTAAATTTAGTATAAATGTAAATACTGAGGAAACAGTCGACTGTTTTTGGTTTCTATAAACAATATTAAGTTTGAAAAGAAAAAGCTGTGAAATGTGATAATTTAATATTTGTTAAAAAAAGTTTTTCTTTATTATTATTATTATTTCTATCTTCTGATTTTGTTTATTTTCTAAAAACGTTTAATGGTTAAACTAGTCCCTTAACAGATTTGTATAAAGAAAATAAAGGATGCTTGTCGCCGTAAAAGAAAAAGATTCAAAATGAATCAAGTAAATGATTCAATGAATCTCTCATAACCTTGCCGCCAAAGCTCCGATTCACTGAATCAAAATTCCCTCTGCTATAAAGCACCTGTCATCTATCAGAGCAGCTGATGGATACGTTTACGTTACGTAAAGCTTGAGATGTTTTTTTTAATTGTTGGTCAGAAGGCTAACTCTGAAATGGTGAGTGGTAGAAAACCAACTTACTAAAACGTTATTAGTTACTGTTTGCCAGTTGGCGTTGTCTGGCGAATCATTGAAGCCACAGGGCCAAAAACGAAATGTAACGTTATTTTATGAAAGTTAGCTACATATTTACTGTTAGCCATTGTGAATTGTGCCATTTCTGTTTTGGACAAGGTTCGTTCATTCGGCCAAGATCGAAAAAACATTTCGAAAATCAAACCGCTGAAGAGAAACGCCGCCGGACTCCAGCTGCTCGGAATGAGAACGATACTGACGTGCGTGTTTTCGGAACGAGTTTAAAATAACAAACATTGATTTAACTTGACAAATTCTTAAATTAATTCCATATATGGTTATTTTAGTGACCAATCTGACTCAGAGGTCAAAACGACTTACACACGATGTTTTGAACAACCATTCAAACGCTTCAGCTACGCTCTGCAGTCCACCTGGAGGAGTGACACAAGGTTTGACATCTCTGAAAATGGTCAAGGTAATGAAATACATTGTTTGGCTAATGGAAATGGAATAAAGTGACTATTGACTCTTTGTCTATGTAGGAAACATCTTACCAACAATCCTTCTGTAGGTAAGTCCGTCTTATGTATACAAATAGGCAAGTCATTGTTTATAATATTCCCCCATTTAGCCTGTTTGTTTTGGTAATTCAAACTGTATCATATCTGGCATCTGTGCAGATATGTTGTCAAGTAATGAGGAAAAGGAAACCAGAAATGAGCTGGACACCCAATATGAAGATCTTTTTTCATTTGCTGACACCGGTAACTTGCATAAAGTTATTTTAAAAAGCACTAGCAAGTAAAAGGCCTTTTAGTAAATATGTCCTCCTTCAGGTTGTACTTTATTATTTTTTTTCTTTTAAGAACTCATCAAGCAAGCGTAAAGACATTATTGGGAGACATTGATTGGCAATTAAAATGTACATGCATTTTATGTAAATATTCTGCTATGCTGTTATAAAATCGAATTAATTCACATTACAAGCTATCATGGCCACATAAATATCAACAACTGCACCAAATTTTCTTCGAGTGTGAGCTCCCTATTCTGACTATATCATACTATACCGTGTGAGCCATAATAATTAAAAATGTATATATAAAAACCAAGCGGCAACCTCCGGCTCTCTCTCTGAGTGACTGATGGATTGCCACTGCTGTCGAGCTAGGTGGGCGTGGTTTCAGCAACCAGCTCCCGCCTTTTTTCCCATTTTCAATTATCCGGGAGTGATGCACTGCTAAGATGGCGACGGCCCGCTCCGCCCACTTTGAGCTTCAAAAACGCTCTTCAGAAAACTACGGGTGACGTCACGGACACTACGTCCATGTTTTTATACAGTCTATGATATAAACATATATATATATATAATATATACGGGGCCGGCTCCAGGCAGGGGTGGGCTGAGCCAACCCAATCAGAATTAGATAAAGATTGCATTATTTATTTATTTTAGTCTGTTGCATAAAAGCAGAGGCTGACAACGAGCGAAACCGCGCAGAAATATTTGCGTGCTATCACGGGGAGTTTGCGAGTAACGAGGAGTTGAATACATGATGAATATGTATCATAGCCTAGCACTGAAATATCCTGAGCAGTTGAATTAATGTTCTAAAAAAACACGCTCATTCAATAACGTGCATTCATTGCATGGACGAGGCAAGATAAATGTTTAAATGCATGTAGGCTATACCAGTGTTTCTCAACTCCAGTCCTGGGTACCCACTGCCCTGCACATTTTGTATGTTTCTGAATCTGACACACTCAGTTCAGTTCATGGATCTCTCTCCTAACGAGCTGATGATATGAATCAGGTGCGTTAAATAAGGTAGACATACAAAATGTGCAGAGCAGTGGGTCACGAGGACTGGAGTTGAGAACCACTGGGCTATACAGTTCAGTTGAAAGCTTAGCCCGTTTAACTTGCTGTTAATGCTGAATGTAAGAATGAAAACTGAAAGTAGCCTAAACTACACTGAAATAAGAGCTTGTGCGATGAAAGTTGCTTTCGTTACTATAGCAACAGTCGGCTCGACTGAAATATCCAGTGATCCAGCACTTTTTTTTTTTTTGGTCAAATTCCGCCATTTTGAATTGAAAAGTTGGGCTGTCATTTTGTGTAATTCATAATTATTGTGATGACAATAGCATTTTTCTGTGTTGCGTTGTTTTTCAACATACCCTACAGCTAAAACTGAATGGGTGCATATTTTAAAATAAAAATCTTATTTGCAGTTCAGATTGATTACTTTACAAAAAAATCTTATTCTTGTTCTTTTACTGTTCTTTTTTTCTTCTTTTAGTTTATTCCACCAAATCTAGTTAAATCCTTTATTTAGTTATTTTATAATTACCATAGTGGTCTGGGGTCTCATTTATAAAACTCTCCGTAGATTTCATCCTAAAAGTTTACGTAGGCACAAATGCTAGATTTTGCGTACGCTTAAAAGTTTTCAGATTTATAAAACCATGCGTACGCCAGAACCTGCGCAAAAATCCCTTTAGAAATCCCAGTCAGGGAAAGATTGTGCGTATGTGCATCTCCACCCCGACTCCTCCCCGAAATCACCATATATGGAGCTTTCAACGCCTAGTTTTACTATGCATAACCTCATCTGCATATCATATTCCCATCCACGTGACACCATGTTTAACACCGTCAAAGGTGCAAGACGTTAAGGAAATATGAGATATGGACTATAAGTGCCATACACATTAAAGGGGTCCTATTATGCTCTTTTAAAAAGTCTTGATTTTGTTTTGGGGGTGTACTAGAACAGGCTGTCATACTAGGTTGTTCGAAAAACATTATTTTTCACATATTTTACATTATCACAACACCTCTCTCCCCAGTCTGGCATGAACG